AGAGAGAGAGAGAGAGAGAAAGCGAGAAATCACCCCCCAGGGAGGATGGCCATGCTGCAATCCCTCCTCCTCCATTCTCCTCTCGGGATCTTGGGCACACATGCACATGCGCCCAGCGTGAGTTTAAGCCACACTGGGTCCAGGACTCGATCCACGGTTGGCTACATGGGCGTTCAGCGACATAGCCATTACGCTAACTGCTGGTCCTGCCAGCATGATATTTTTCAAGCCAGTGGGCCAAAACCCAAATTGTAGGATCTGGCTTCCTATGTGCTGTGCTTATGGGCTATCAGGCCAGTCCAGCACTGTATTTCTCTTACCTCAAAGGAAATGAACACAGAGCTGGCAATGATATATGTATATATTAAACTTGAGTAACAAAAGAAGGAAGAATGTGAACAAATGGGAGATATATTAAACCATTTCTGAGGAAGGAAAAGATACTACTTTGGGTAGGAGAAGGAATGTAACTTAGCCTTTAAAGATGAACTAGGTCTTGGGAACCAGCAGTTAGTGTAATGGCTATGTCGCTGGACTCCCACGTAGTCGACCACGGTTCGCGTCCCGGACCCGGTGGCTTAGAACTCATGCCGGGCAAGTGTGCGTGCGTGCCCAAGATCCCGAGAGGAGAATAGAGGAGAAGGGATTGTGGTGTGACCATCTCCCCTGGGGGGTGATTTCTCACTTTCTATCTCTCTGTCTCTCTCTGTCTGTCTGGCGAGTGCATGTGCCCTATAGCGAAAACCTCTCCAAAAAAATAAGATGAACTAGGTCTTGATTGATAGATAGAAGAATGGTATGTCAAATGGAATAGAAAGTATTATGTGAGGAACATAATATGTAATATAAATAAGATGTTGAGAAGATCCTGAGTAGGCTTCATATGAGTTTACCAGAGAGGATCCAAAATTAGATAAAAACAGGCAGGTTGAGGCCAGTCTCATGCTAGTCTTGAGTATCAAGCTAGCGTCTTGGCTTTATTCTGTAAATAGTAGGAAGCTATTGAATATTTCTGAGTCTAAGACTGACAAGACAAAAATGATCTTTAGGAAGATTAATATGATAACAGTATTTAATAGAGATGAAGGACTGGCCAAAAAGAAGTATTTAGGATACCATGCAACAATCCACACTGAACTTGTGAACTGCTGAACTGAACTGTTTGAGAACAATATTAGCAAAAGGGCACCACTTCTGCTAATAGCACACATGAAAATGCATTGCTTGGATCTCCCTTCTGCTCAAAGAATACATTTAACCAATGGTCTTCAGCTACAGTACCCTCAGGATCTACCAAAGCAGCAATCAAGCTGAGGTGGTGTCCTCCCAGGCAGCCACTGTCCTGAGCATGGAGTTGTTTCCAGGGCCATTTTTACTCAATGCAGAACTTCTAACAGGCAGTCTTTGCCCTGGAGCTCCCACTGGGTTTGAAACTTTGCTAGATTTACATTAAAGTCTAAGGCTCTCCCCCCCAATCCTGCTTACTCGCCCTTACCTGCTTAGCCCCCTTTCCTTTCACAGGTATCAGATGGGCATCCAGTCTGAAGGCTTTCCCGACTCAATCCCCCTTTCTTCCTATCTTTCATAGGTGGTACACTCCTGCCTCCATTCCACTTCTTTCATTTCTAATTCCATCTTCGTCTGCTTCCTAAAGGATCCAAATCTATACAATCAACAGAAAAGCCAGGTGTATCAAATGAATTTTATTCTCCTAGGACCTATAGGAGCTCTTTGCATGTCATGGGTCTTTAATAAATGTTAAGAGACTACATTAAAAAAAAAAGCCCACTTTGGAAACACATGAAGAATTATACATTTTTAAATTATATGAGTAAAAATTAAATTCATAACACTGAATTAATTGTGTCTAGAAAGGGCATATTTTAGGTCTAATTAGTTCAAGGACTAGAAAACTAAGAAATGTGATCGTGATTTATGCATTGAGAAAAACACCAAGGTCACTGCAGGTTTGAATGTTTTTTGCATGCTGAAATACTTTTTTTTATTTAACTTGAGATTAAATAAGAGACTGAAGTAGCTCTTGGGACATTTATTTAGAGGAACCAATTTATTTTAAAGAGAACATTTTCATCTCAAAACTGAAAGTAATAATGGGATAAGTGGGTGGGGCAGAGCAGTTCTCTGAGACAACTACTGCAGCTGGAGTTTAACAAACATGAGAGTCAGAATATGCACTAAAAATACATCTTTCTGATAGCAAAGATTATTGAAACTTCTTTTGAATATGCTTCATGCTTGTTTTCATGAGACATTTCTGCAAAAATGGAAAGATGCTTGTCATGGCAATGTTGAAAACATACACACACACACACACACACACACACACACACACACACACACACACACACACACACACATATATATATGGGTATATATACACACACACGTATGTGTGTGTGTGTATATATACACACATATATATATATATAAACTGTCATTGTCAGTATGTAACGGAAACTCTACTGATGAACCATCTAACACTATCAGCTAAACATAACCACTCTTCCTGTTTTGTTTGTAGGAGGAAGTTATAGTGTAATGTTAGAGGCATATTTTATATGTATGTCAGGCTATAGGACTTCAGTGGGTTGGATTTTGGTCACTGAGTTTCAGTTGTTCAAGTGCTAGAACAATTTGGGAATGAAACTGTTATGCTAAAGTAGTTTTGGGCTAATAAAAAAATACTTGGTTAAAGTCCTGATTGTTTATAACATTTGTAAAAAGTTAACTTATTTTTTCTACCAGAGAGAGACTGAGGAGCATACCCAACAGGGTCTCATGCCATGATTCCCACTCCCTAACCTTAGCCAGCCAGGATCCTGGGCACACATGGGTGCTGTGTACAGGGAGACCTTGAGACATGTACCCAGGACCTTCCATGTGGTTCCAGCATTGTGGAACATCACATATCATTGTGCCACTGTGACTGGCCTCATTCCTATTTTTAACTCCTACTTAACACAATATTTCTCTTTGGAAGTCAATATTCATAGCAGTTGAAACATTTCAATGACATAAATTCAAATTACTATCTCTTAATAATAAAAATACTTAGAAAATAATTCCATACTCCATCCCTAGCATGACCTCTCTCCTCTCAACTTGCCATTTATACATTCCCTTTTCCAAATTATTTTCTTCCCTATTCTATAAAATCTCTAATTTCATTTTCCTTACACTTTCCATCTCTTTTCCACAACAGAAGCCATCAGAAGTTGCTCATCTTTTGATTCCTAAATCTATGATTCAGCCTGCCCCTGTTCATTTGCTCCTTCCCTCCAGTTTCAATGGTGTTTCCCTCCTCCAAATCACTCCTGCTTTGGATCCAAACCCTCTCTATATATTAATTTTCCCTTTCTAGTGATCTGACCCCCAAAAAATATATACTAGCATCTCTTATCTGTTAAAAAAAGCAAAATCAAAAACTAAACAACAAAATAGCCTTTTTCTCAACTTAAATCCTCTGTAAATTACCTTTTCTTCTCTTACTTCTCCATACAGGAAAACTTTCTGAAATATCTTGTCCTTCATCTCTACTTCTCTCCAATCCAGCTTCCCTGCTCCAACATGCCTCTGAAACTGTGCCTATCACCAATGACTTCTATATTTAGTCCTTATTTTACTTGATCCATCGGCAGCTCTCTCTCCCTAGAAATAGTCTCATTTCTTAGTTTCTGGGGTGCCACTCAGTGCAGAAAGAGTTAACATAGTAGGCCTTTACTATCTTTAAAAGAGGCTTGTAAGGTTGGCTGCTGGTTGGCATCTGGGAATTTGGATCTCAGGAGTGCTTTCATAGTTCCCCTAACTGATAACAATGGTTTGGACTCCTTTATTGGCTTCTCCTACTTTATCCCATTTGGAACCTCCAGGTATTATTTTCTCTTCTCTCTATATATGTTTCCTTCATGATCTAAATAGGGCCCTTCGTGTTAAATATATCATCTATAGGTTCCTAACTTCCAAATTTACAACTAAAGCCTAGTTCCTACCACTAACTAGACAGAAATTGATATCCAAAAGCCTACTTGAATCTTTTACTTAGAATCTTGTAGGTAAAGTCAATATGGACAATATGGACCTAATGAATCTTTCTCTCAAACCTTGTCCTACCGACTATTTTCTTCATCTTAATGAACTGACTCTACCACAATGCTTTTAGCAAAGAAATAAATCTGGGAGTTACTACTGACTCTTCCCTTTCTCTCACCCCATATTATATCATCAAATCTTGTTAGTTCTATGGGCTGGTCCCTTTGTATGGTGGTTAAAGGAGCCAGATCCCACATGGCTAACTGTGTGGTTTGTATCCTGACCACAATGACTTGTAAAACATGCCAGGCATGTGTGCATGTTTGTCCAAGATCCTGACAGGGAAGAAAAATGAAGGAGAAAGGATTGTGGTGTGACTATACTCCATGGGGTGGGGTGGGGTGGTTTTTCTCTCTCTTTCTCTCTTTGGCAAGTGAGTGTGCCCTCTGGCAAATTAAAAAAAGAAAAAGGAGGGCAGAAGAAGTAAAATAAACAAAAAAAGATCTTGTTCTTTCTTCCTTCTTTCTTTTCTTTTCTTTTCTTTTCTTTTCTTTTCTTTTCTTTTCTTTTCTTTTCTTTTCTTTTCTTTTCTTTTCTTTTCTTTTCTTTTCTTTTCTTTTCTTTTCTTTTCTTTTCTTTTCTTTTCTTTTCTTTTCTTTTCTTTTCTTTTCTTTTCTTTTCTTTTCTTTTCTTTTCTTTTCTTTTCTTTTCTTTTCTTTTCTTTTCTTTTCTTTTCTTTTCTTTTCTTTTCTTTTCTTTTTTCTTTCTCTTTTAGAGAGATTTTTACTATAGGGTATGTGTGCTTCTCACCAGAGAGACTGAGAGACAGAAAGCAAGAAATCACCCCCTGCATAGATGGCCATGCTTCAGTCCCTTCTCCTCCATTCTCCTCTCTGGATCTTGGGTATGCATGCATACACACCCGGTGTGAGTTTTAAGCCTCCAGGTCTGGGACTCGAACCACAATCAACTATATGGGAGTCCAGCAACATAACCATTACACCATCTGCTGGCCCCAAGATATTATTATTTCTGAAATCTTTTTTATTTTGGGGGAACCAGCAGTTAGCGTAATGGCTATGGCGCTGGACTCCCACGTAGTTGACCGCGGTTCGCGTCCCGGACCCGGTGGCTTAAAACTCATGCCGGGCGCGTGTGCGTGTGTGCCCAAGATCCCGAGAGGAGAATGGAAGAGAAGGGATTGTGGCATGGCTATCCCCCCTGGGGGGTGATTTCTCACTTTCTATCTCTATGTCTCTCTCTGTCTGTCTGGCGAGCGCATGCACCCTATAGCAAAAACTTCTCACAAAAAAAAATCTTTTTTTTTTTGGAGAGATTTTTGCAGTGCATGCACTAGCTGAAGAGACAAAGAGACAGAAAGTGAGAAATCATCACCCCTCTGCGGGGGAAATGGACACAGACACATGCCTGGAGTGAGTTTCAAGCCTCTGGGTTTGGACTCAAACTGTGGTTGGCCGTGTGGAAGTCAGTGACATAATCATTACACCATCTGCTGATCCAAAGATCTTGTTATTTCTATATCCAAAATATTTCAAATATCTGACCACTTCTTGCTACCTGCACTATTATCACCATGATGCAAGCCATCATCTCCTATTAGGTAGCTTAAATAGCTTTCTAATTAGTGTTCCTACTTCCATTCTTACCCATTTAATCTATTTTTCATTCAGAGTCTGGAAAGCTCTTTTGGAAGTTTAAATCAAATTACGTCAGTTTTCTGATCAAAAATTTGTCTATTGGTTTCCATTACACTTAGAGTAAGTTTAAATTCTTACATAATGGATTAGGTTAGAATTATAAGAATAAATGCTCTTTCAGTATAAAAAAAACTTTGCTTGATGAAGAAATTAAGAGATCAGAATGAGAAGGGATCAAGATATAAGATGAGATATTAAGAGAGGAAGGAGGGCAGGACCAGCAGGTGGTGTGGTGGTTAAGATGCTGGACACTCCCACATGGCCTACCACTGTTTGAGTCCCAGACCTGATGGTTTGCTTTCTCACTTTCCCTGTGTGTGTGTGTGGGGGGGGGGAGCGGTGAGTGTGTGTGTGTGTCTCACTCTGATCAAATTAAAAAATGAATGAATGAATAAATAAAATTAAATTAAATTCTTTTTTTAAAAAAGAGAGAAAGGAGGGTCTTCTTTTATAGGACCTTGTTTTTGAGTATTCATTATATAAGTTTCTGCTGAGCTATAAAAGCAAAAATCATAGTAACACAAAAATATTCACTAGTGAACTGATCATTTATAAAATGAGTCCAGGGCCAACCTATAGTCTGGTGGTTATAGCAGCTGGTTCCCACAGGGCTAACCATGTGGTTCAAGTCCTGGAACTGGTGGCCTGAAAAACATGCCTGGTGTGTGTGCATATATGCATGTGTGCCCACACACTCCTAAGAGCCAAGTTCCCATCCTGACATCCATCCCTACA